CTCTCTCTCTCTCTCTCTCTAACAAACAAACACAAAAAGGGGGAGAAATCAGGACGATAGATCTGATGTTTGATAGGAAAGAAGGAGCAAACCACATCAGAGCACCCGCTTGTAATCTTTCAACTCTGATTCGAACACAAAACCCCTATGCCTATATAATAGAGCAGGTACAGAAGACATGTAACCAAGTGCACCAAACTTGCACCCTGGCTGATTACTGCCCGGGTACCCCTCACCAGACATTGACATGCAAATTTCCAGGCGCTCGTGCGTGAAACTCCTTAATGTCCAGGTTTGGCCGGCTCTGATTTGTGGCTTTGTCCAGATTTATGGGGGACATGCAGCCCGGTATTGGCATGCTCGGCCAGCCCATCGGATGCGGTGTAGGCCCTGGGAACGGCGGGAAACTCATGCTAGAAGTAGGAGTCGTGCATGCTGGGGGGGTATAAAATCGTGTAGTTGAGCGGATTGTTAGCCGGGTCCAGGAGGGGAGATTTTGGGTTACTTGTGGAGTGAGCTAGAGCTAGTAGTAATGAGGGCGGGAGGGGGTGGGGGGAGGAGATGGGGAGAAAGAGACCGGGAGAGAAAGAGAGAGAAAGAGAGAGAGGGAGAGAAAGAGAGGTAGACGGGAAAAGAGAGATAGAGCGAGAGAGAGAGCTGAAAAAGAGAGAGATGGATAGAAAGACAGACACGGAGAGAGAGAGAGAGAGAGAGAGAGAGAGAGAGAGAGAGAGAGAGAGAGAGAGAGATAGAGAGAAACAGACAGACAAAAGACGTAGATCAGTCAAGAGGTGTTTACAAAACACTCACTTCACAACATGGGGATGGTGCTGTACTATTTATCGATTTATCCATCTACCTAACCACCCACCTGCTTATCTACCTACTATCCATCCATCCATCCATCTATCTATCTATCTACTATCCATCCATCCATCCATCTATCTATCTACCTACTATCCATCCATCCATCCATCTACCTAACTACCAACCTACTTATCCACCTACCTATCTATCTAATTGTCTATCTATCTACCTTCCTATGTATCTACCTATCTATCTACCTACCTACCCACCTATCTATCTACCTATTTACCTACCTACTTATCTATGTATGTATCTATGTATGTATCTATGTATGTATCTATGTATGTATCTATGTATGTATCTATGCATCTATCTGTGCATCTATCTATGTATCTGTCTTCCTATGCATCTATCTATGTATCTGTCTTCCTATGCATCTATCTATGTATCTATCTATGCATCTATCTATGCATCTATCTATGTATCTATCTATGTATCTATCTATGCATCTATCCATCTATCTATCTATCTATCATATATCTAACAATACCAGGCCGGCAGCGGGCCAGTGTTTATTTTGGTACTGTCCGGGTGATAACCAGGAGGACAACCATACCATGTTATGTAACAAATAAGTGATATAAATGTATATAATTGTGGATTCCTACTTCAAAGTTAAAGGGGGAGTCTCGCCTTTTGGAATGGCACAGAAACAAGCTCAGTTCATTTCGACAGGCAATGATTGTAATGATTGTGAGTGTTTTACGACCTCCCCCCCTCATCCCCCCCTCTCTTCTCTGAGTGTAGGCGCGTGTGCTTTTTTGTTTCGTTTTAGTAAGTGTTTTACGGCACTTGCAACACAATACGGTCATGTAAGTGCCGAAGATTAGAGGTGTTACAAGAGAGTAACAAACACAAAAAAGGAGGAGACATAAGGATGATAGATGTTTGATAGGAAAGAAGAAGCAAGCCACACCGGAGCACCCGCCAACCACCCACCTCTCCTCTTTATATTTTGC